ATAATAGTTACTAACTGTGGCCTTCTACAGTTAGAGTCATCAAGGGTTTGTCTCTGTGATATTATTTCATGTCACATTGATTTCTTGCACAATATGAAAAAAACAGCTCATGGTGGTGAATGGTGGTTACCCTACCTTAACACTAAATGAAATTGACCTGGCTATTGCTATTATAATTCAGCACTGTTGGGGAGTAACTAACTACAATTAGTGACTCTACTAATATATTCAACTCTGCTGCTCAGCCTACAAATGCACTTTACTTACAAATGTGACACCATCTAAAAGGGAAATAAAGAGGCTTTCCAACGGTATAAGATTTATTGCCAAGAAGCATTGTCACAACAAAGAAATAATCAACCAAACACAAATTTCATTACTTTTTGCGCTAAGTTTATATAACTATAGGGTGACCAGACAATCCATGTCAGGGAGGACACTTTGAGCTACTTCGGGTTTTACAAACTACTTTCAAATTGAAAGGCTCCTGTGCTCGGCTAAGTAGTTTAGCTCTTCTTGTGCTTTGACTGGTTTGTTTCCTTGACTGAAAGACTCATCCAGCTGTTTCACATTAGCATTAGTGACACATGCATGATTATAGGAGACTGACCAATCAGCACACAGCAAGAGCTGAGTGCTCAAGTGAAATCCAGGTCCGTTTAATTGAAATGGTAATTTACAATTCCTGTCCTAGCTCACAGTGTCCTCCCTGACATGGATTATCTGGTCACCCTATATAACTATATACACAGGTGCACAGGTGCACACACCACACACACGCACAGGTGCACACACACACACACACACACACACACACACACATATACACTGTATATATATATAAGATAGCATCTTGTAGTTGATACATACATATATATATATACACACACACACACACACACACACATGCATACAGTGATACCTTGGAACACAAACTTAATCCATTCCAGGAGCTTGGCTGAGCAATTTGGTTCCAAGTCGAATTTCCCCATAAGAAATAATGAACATGAATTTAATCCATTCCCACAAATGATTGCCTATTTAAAACTTATTTACCCACCTAATAATAAAAAGGATTTACAATCAATGCAGACGTGTCCCGATCTGTACACCTCATAGCAGGTCTCTTGTTTTGTCATGGTAAGAGTTTTTGGTCGAGTTGTGTGTAGAATTTTCTCGACCGACCCCAACTCCACATCCGAATTGAGAGACGTTCGAGTTCCAGTGTTCTACTGTGAGTATATATTATATGTACCTGTATACCCCACCTGCCTCCCTCTCCAATTTAGAAACCAGCTCCCGGTACATAATTTTTTGCCAGTATTTCTGACTTGGATATGTGCGTGTGATGATCTGGTAACATATTACACTGAATTAGGCTGGTTTAACATAACTTATTTAAAACAAAAGTTCTTCTTTTTTGGTAAAATACAAATGACAGAAGTTTTTTCCACAACAGCCCGAACACAGGCTGATATCTTTAATCGCTTCAAACTAAAATTCTGAATGTCACTGAAACTTCCCGAACTTATCTTAAAAGCTATTATACCACGCCTTTCAGTAAAAACTGACTTTTTTAATGGTCCAGAGATGTCACATGGCCATGGATTATTATCATGTAACTGCACAGGTAGTTCCAGCAGCCTAATAACGGTTTTATAAGAATACACAGTAATTGCACTCAGCATTCCAAATACATTTACGATGCGTAACTTTTTACTCATAAGCAAACAGTTTTTATCAGTATCATTTTCTTAGATTTTCAAAACGCAAGGGCCTGTCCATGGTTTCTATGGTAACTAAACCCATAGATACATGTGACTTTCAGAAAACACTATTACAAACCTCGGGTGTTCAGTGACCCGGCAAATATACATTTAAAAAATCAAGCCAAAATAACCATAACAGTGCAAACTTTTATTGAATGCCCCTCCCTTGAATACTAAGAACAATTTCTAAACAAACTGAACTTAAAATATTTTTTTTCTTCTCAAGCACCAGTGAGCAGGAAGTTGCTCATTCAGCATGCTGAAACTGTTCATTTTAATGGAAAAAAGGTTAAAAATGTTAACATTATAAAATATAAAATGTTATATCCATCACTTTCCAATCAAAATAACCTCCAAAAATAATCCAGAAAAATGCTTCATACTTGCTGCTAGGTTAAATGGGCCTTCCTCTTTATTTATGTGTAGGCTATAGCAAAGCACCCACCTCTCAAAATATGCTCACATCATTTGTCTCTGTCAGGCTCCAATAATCAAAATCTATTATCGTTCTCAATCCAAAAATAGGCTAAATTGGGCAAGCACTGCAAAAAATACCACTAAATAATGTCGAAGGCCCACCTTGTGCTTTCTGGACAATGAGGGGGGTATTAATGGTACAAAAATAGATCAATATGAGCAACCCTGTAATGTCTTTACTTTACTTCAGTAATATTCTGAGCTACTCAGACTCTGGAAGGTGACATAATGTAAAACAGCACGTTTAGTTCTAGAGCCGTTCACAAATTTAGCACTTAAAAAAACACTACAAATATTTCACCATGTTCGGGTTGCTAGTGACATGCTACTTTTTGGCAAATAAATTAAGACAAAATAATATAGTGAAGCTATTTTGCCATAAATTTGCCAATAAAGTGTGACAGATACACTTGACATACTATGGGAACAGCAACCTGAGATATGTACACAAGGGTTAAGGGATTTGTCACTTCCAGTGAGTAGCCTGGCCAGACATTATACCCCTATAGAGACTTACTGTATAGGGACTATGTTTTCAAGAGCACACTGGAACATTATTAAATGCAAATAGAAATGATGTTCTGAAAAATTAACTGTGACTAGGTTATTCTATTATTTTTTTTGTTCATTAGCCGTGGTATAAGGATAAACGACTTGAAGGTGTGCAGTTATAGGAAAATGATCCAACTTGGTCAGCCCTCGGCTTTGTGTCGGGCCGCATTACGCCAAGTTGTCCCTCATTATTTTCATATAATCGCACACCCCAGAGTGGTTTATCCCTTACATAATAATGTTTGACTACTGCACAAAATGAATACGCAATAAAACATAATGCATTCAGCAGTCCAAAGGCTGGCATATTGTGCCGAATCAATTATCTCTTCAATATAAAATTCTGCACGTTGCTGCAACTAATACTATGTCGCATATGACATACACAGCACTTCACTCACCTTGACTATTTCAAAATATTTTTTATCACATTATGCAAACAATTACAGTTCTCATTTCAGGAATGCTACAGTATGCGGTATATTAAAAGTACATACTATACAAGAAATTACAACCAGTACTGCCCAGTGCTACTCCGAAGACTGAAAAATGTCTGCAAGAGAACATCACATGACTGTCAATACAAAAATACGCAACTATCAGTAAACACACTAACCGGTAGAAGGTTCTCTCATTAGAGGATGATTTATGCCTGTTCCTGCAGCCAAAAGTAGGAAGGATTGCTTCGACTTCAGCAATATGGCGGTTAAATCCTTGCACTTGCAGTCACGTGATAGCAGATAAATGTATGTCACTGATGCATACATACAGTTAGCATTTGTTGTCAGGGACTGTAGTTTAACTAGAGATGTCAAAAATAACAGGTTAGCGTTCATTTTTAAGTCATTACATCTTACTATTTCTTTCGTCACATCAACGCATATGTTAATTTTGATGCCAAAATGGGAGAATAGTATGAACAAAATTTTTTAATAGAGACCTATAATATTTCTTCATGGTTCTAAACAACATGACAGCATCTGATGTGATGTCAAATCTCAGAATTCATAGCTGAACTCAAAACAGTCAGTCAGCATCTTCTGGCGAAGCTGAAGAGGGGAAAGGCGAGGAAATATTGTGACTTTGTTACATTTAAAATAAATTTCTAGGGCGTGACACAGTTGTTAGCACTGTTGCCTCTCACATCTGGGACCTAGGTTCAAGGTTCAAATATTAGACAAAAAGAATACTGGTTAGCGATCAAATTTTCCAGTGAAGACACAAGCAAAACCAATGCACTACTTGACGCAATAAATGTAATTGGGGTGCAAAAATAATTCTATCTGCGTGATTTTTGCTCCACTACAGTACATCTCTTTTCCTGCACTTCTGCGTAACTTCCAAGTTAGTGCCAGTTTTGGTGGTCAACCAATCAGCAAGCTATGGCTGTAAGCGCCAACCAATCAGCAAGCTATGGCTGTAAGCGCTTCAGTAGTTTGTGTTCAAAAGAAAAGTTCAGAGTCTCGAGTAGGGAGTAAAATAGGGTTCAGGAGCTGCCGGCGAAGAACTACAACCAGGATGTGAATGTCAAAAGTTCCTGGTTCTGGAGAAGGGTTCTGATTCCAGAAAAAAGTTCTGCCAGAGTGAAAGTGTCTATAGGCTAAACCCATCATTGTTAGAGATAGATACACTTAAATGAGTGATGTCTGGTAGGCTAATACAGGCTGGTAGCCTAAAGACAGGCTTTTAAACTCAAAAACAGAAGTCAAAAATGGAAATTTTCATTTCTGTTCATTTCATTTCAGTTTGAATTTCAGTTTAGTTTTCATGTCTCACATTTAATTTAAATTTTTATTAACAAAATGGTTCTGTTATTGCTTGCATTCCGGTATCCATGAATGATAATATCCTTATCCATTAATGACAATACCTCGTTAACCGCAACGTATGTTCCGTAAATCTGCAAAATTATGTACTCAGGTGACAATATTAAAGTAATTAGGCAGTGAACAGTTAAAAAGGGGCATAACTTAGGTTCATTAAGGTAATGAATAACCTCTACGTTCATGAAATCAGATTTTGGATTGTGAAGTCACATGACACATGATCACAAATTCAAAACCAGTTAAAAGCACAATGTCAGTTAAAAGCACTAAAATCCCAAATAAAAGTGATAAAATCATCTTCATAGGGCAATCCCACCATCTGCCAAGTAACATCACTGATGTGAAACCCAGTTCCAAGGCGGTACGGCTGACTTACTGAGCTGCTGTCGGCGACGTTGTAGAGAAACGTCTCGCCATACGGACAGATGGGGGCCAGCGTTTTGTCAGGGGGGGCTGGAAGGCATGAGAGAACCTGTCAGCGCTCGTCGGCCTTTACCAGAAAGACCCACAGGGCAGAATAGCAGCTTTTCAGCTCATGTCAGCATCGGGCAGCACGGCCACAAATACGGATCTCATCCTTTAAAAAGTTTTTATGAGAGCTCAAAAACTCTCAGCATTGCAGACATGCAGTGAGGGAGTCCCTAAGGTCGGCAGTGAAGAGTCTGCACTGGTGTGGCCACTTTGGAGATTAACAGAATAAAGTCCCCATGAAAAGAGAGAGACCGACAGCAGACCCCCGCAGGTGGTTTAATTAAGGGCTAGAGCATCACACTGTATTCGTGAAAGAGCGCTTAACAGAGATGGGTTGTCGTGTCCCATGCAGCCATTCAGCATCAGTGCAGGTACAGATAACTGGAACAACATACGTGTGCACACAGGGACAGTGCACGGTCACATGCTTCAAAGCATCAGCTCTTCATTGTTCATATCCATAAGCTTGTCCCTTAACATTGAAAGGGTGGGGGAGGTACTTAAGATTGCCGAACGGGTGGAAAACCTCTCTCACCCCTCACAGTATCTACAGGGGGTGGCATCCTGGACTCCGGTGCCTATTTGCCAGGCATGAGCAGGGATTACATACCACCACAGCTATGGAAGCAAAGCCAGGGGTGGAGGAGGGAGAGAAGGAGGTGCTGTGGGTGTTTAACCTTCTGGGGTCTAGGGGTAGGAAACACACTTTCACTGACTGGGGCACAATCACACATTTCTTCAAATACCATAAACTTAACAAATGGCAAATAAATTATTTAGTATATATTTGTTTTGCCATTACACTCATCTTTATTTTAATATATATCGTAAATATGTCAGATTTACGTTAAGTTTGCAATTTGACATCAAAGTATAGACATTGCAAAATGCAGTTTGGAACACTTGCAGAAACATTATAAAAGTACATAGTACTGGCAGTTTGTTTTGATCCCAGATATCTGATCACCAAAGTCTTGGCTACATGAAGATGACTAAATGGTGTAGTTGCAACATTCATTTGGATAAATAAATAAGAAAAACCTAAGTCATGTCACTATTTCTGGCTCCTTTCATTGAATATGTAGCAACTTTCATGTGTATGAATGAGCCATTGTCACCTGGCCATGTCCCCCATCCCCTTTTATGGCGCTGATGGGGATGTATCTGGATTCATTAAATTACCATGCGAATGCGATTTGAATACGCGCTAATGCGGCTATTTCGAATGTGAATAGCGATCTTCGGGTGAGAGCGATACTACACGCCCCCGATGCAGGTAAAACAAAGTAAGATGGCATGGTTTACTTTTTTGCCGATTTAATCTAACTTTAAAAACTTTAATACTTCCGACAATGGACGTTTGAAAAGAAGACAGAATACGGATTTATTTTCATGATTCTACATTAAGATTTCAGCGAGATATAAACTGAAATAGACGCGAAAAGTACGCTGTGTCGCCGACGATGCACTCGACCCCAGAGGGTTAAGGTAAAGTGAGATGGCCTGTCAGCTAAGCTGTAGGAGGACAATCAATCACAGCAACCTGCAGGAAGCATATGGGGGGAGGAAGTCTCTCCCACACACACACACACACACACACACTCCATGCCCTGGCTCACGATCCAGCAGGATGACAGAGCTCGGAAGTACGCCTGCCTGTATGACTCCCTCCCTCCTGAATGAGCATTCCCAAGACAGGCTTCCCCCTGGGAAAGAGGAGAGGCGTGGGGGTGTAGATGCCGAGGCATGTGGCGATGTCATCCAGAAAGCTAACCAAGCTCCCCACCACACCCCCGCCCAGGCTGCAATCAAATGCTGTCTAAGCAAAGGAGAATCACACCATCCTTCACGGTCTCTCTCTAATCGCAGCAGCCAGACAAGGCGACTGGGGGTGGGAGATGTAGCGTACCTTCCTGCGTGGCACGCGGGCTGTCGGGGGGCTGGGGGTGCTGACAGCTCAGGGAGTCTCTGAGAAAAGAGAGCGGCGGTCAGCATGCAGACAATGTTCCAGAACACTACACAGAAAAGTCCTGCTCCTCTCGGGGTTCTACAGTGAGCGTATGTGGCCGTGTGTAGCAGCTACATGTTGCAGCTGCGTGGAAGGGTTGTATGGAGAGGCCACGTGGAGGGGCAACATGTAGCGGCTGCATGTAGGGGCTACGTATAGGGGCAACATGTAGCAACCATGTGTAGGGGCTACGTATAGGGGCAACATGTAGCAGCCATGTGTAGGGGCAACATGTAGCAGCCATGTGTAGGGGCTACGTATAGGGGCAACATGCAGCGGCCATGTGTAGGGGCAACATGTAGCAGCCACATGTAGGGGCCGCGTGGAGGGGCAACATGTAGCGGCCATGTGTAAGGGCTACATATAGGGGCAACATGTAGGGGCTGCGTGTAGCGGCCACATGGAGGGGCAACATGTACCGGCCACGTGTAGGGGCTACGTATAGGGGCAACATATAGCAGCGGCATGGAGGGGCAACATGTAGCGGCCATGTGTAGGGGCAACATGTAGCGACTGCGCGTAGAGGCCACGTGGATGGGCAACACGTAGCAGCTGCATGTAGGGGCCGCATTGAAGAGCAACACATGGCGGCCATGTGTAGGGGCCACGTGGAGGGGCAACATGTAGCAGCTGCGTATAGGGGCCGCGTGGAGGGGCAAAATGTAGCGGCCTTGTGTAGGGGCAACATGTAGCAGCTGCATGTAGGGGCCACGTGGAGGGGCAACATGTAGCGGCTGCATGTAGAGCAACACATGGCGGCCATGTGTAGGGGCCGCGTGGAGGGGCAAAATGTAGCGGCCTAGTGTAGGGGCAACATGTAGCAGCTGCATGTAGGGGCCACGTGGAGGGGCAACATGTTGTGGCCATGTGTAGGGGCCACATGGAAGGGCAACATGTAGCGGCAGCGTGTAGGGGCTGCGTGGAGGGGCAACATGTAGCAGCGGCATGTAGCGGCCGCGCGGAGGGGCAACATATAGCAGCCATGTGTAGGGGTCACGTATAGGGGCAACATGTAGCGGCTGTGTGTAGGGGCTGCGAGGAGGGGTAACTTGTAGGGGCCATGTGGATGGGCAAAATGTAGCGGCCGTGTGTTGGGGTCATGTGTAGCGGCCGCGTGTAGGGGCCATATGTAAGGGCCGCGTGTAAGGGCAACATGTAGCGGCTGCATACAGGGGCTGCGTGGAAAGACAACATGTAGCAACGACGTGTAGAGGGCCTACATGTAGCGGCTGCATGTTGTGGCTACATAGAGGGGCTGCATGTGGCCGGCCACATGTAACTATCAGAGCCGCACTGTGCCCAATAAAGCACACAGGTGCCGCTGACAATGGCCTACCGGTCCCCCCAGAGGGCGCTGACTTTGTCCGGGACCTCGGGAACTGGCCGGTGTTTGAGCCTGTAGGAGCGGGTCGGACGGATGCAGCCTCCCAGCACGTCACAGCCATCCCCGTCATAGATGTCATTCAGGACCATCGTACCCTTAAAGTCTCTTGATGGGGGGGCAGAGGTATTCTGTGTGGCAGGCTCTGCAGGGGTGAGTGGGGAGCTGGTGCTATTAGGGATGGGCGTGAGGGCCTCCCCCAACCCAGCCCCTGATGATGGGGGCCGTGTCATCTGTGGTTCCTCCAGTCTGGCCCCATCCTTTTTGGGAGCGAAGGGGGCAGCCCTCTTTACCCCCCAGGAGAGCAAGTAGGACGACGCCACGGCCTGACAGGGGGGGCGGGTTTCCAGACTGCGCAGGATGCGGCGACGGTGGCCCGTGGGAAGCACACCCAGCTCCCACAGCTGCTGGTCACTCAGGCCCCAGCAGTCACGTAGCCGACAGTACCCGGCGCGGGCCAGGCAAGGCCCGTACTGACCCAAGCGTAGGCTGGAGAGCCATGCTGAGATCTCCACACTGGGCTCCGACATGCCGACGCAGCTACATCACGCTGCGCGGGGGCCTATGGACAGATCGGGCAGAGAGAGGAGAATATACAGTATCTCCTCACATTCACAAAAGGCACTTTCACACCAAGGCTCCAGAATCTGGCTACAAGTCCCTGAGCTGTCCCAACCGGGGACTTTTGAAGAACCTGCATGGCCACTTTTGTGTGTCGCTTTCACACCACAAAACAGGAACTGGGACCTTTATGCTGAAAATACATAGGATATGCAAAAAGCTTGTAGGTTAAATTTCATAAAGAACTACACCACCCCCCCCCCCCCCCAAAAAAAACAATGGAGGATAATTAAGTTAACTTTATAAAGCAATTTGTTAGTTATTTTATGGTGATGGGGGGGGGGTGTAATCAAAACAAGATACAGCTTTTTACTATATTTTATTCCTTGGACTCGCGATTTGTTATAATTCATCATTAAATCTGGCCAGCAAATTGATCTTACCGTTTCACAGAATAAAAAACGGTGTAACATGCTAATAAGCACTGGCGATACCAGACAAAACTACAGCCGCGGAAAAAATTGAGACCACAGCACTATTTTTTTCTCTCATTTCTCAATTTATGGGTGTGCATTTGTGAATAATGTTTTTTTTTTTTTTGAAAACTGCAGCCTGGTTCTTCCCTGCTTGTCATTGATAAAGGGCTTCATCCTTTATGGGACTTCAGTCCTTCTTCTAGGAGCCTCCTGATACACACTGTCTTAGCAGAGCCCTTCCCACCTTAATGTCTCCCATTTCTTTTAAAGGTCACTTGATGCCATTCTATGATTCATGAGAACCTGTTGGATAATCTAACGGTCATCTCTGGCATTAGAAAGTCACTTCTGTCCTTCACCTGTCTGGCTTCTGGTCCTTCCCAGTGTCTCCTGCTTCACCTTATTCTTGTGTACTGCCTTCTTAGAAATTTTGAACCTTGAAGCATCCTCATGCTCAGCGTAGCCTTCTGCAGGCAGAACCGGAACTGGGATTTAAGAATGAAAATTTATTTTAAAATATAGAGTGGTCTCTTAATTTTTTCAACGGTTGTATATTGGCTATAAGTCAAATTTTCCAATGCAAAAAGGTAGAGACACAAGCAGTGGCGTAGAGCAAACTGCGTTGGCCCACCCGCAAGAGTGGAGGTGGGGCCCTTCACCGCATAATTAGATGGGGGATTCACCTTTTCATTCAAAATCGTGATTTAGTACTGTGGAATTTAATAGTATGTAATTATTTCGTATTTATTTATTAAGAACTTTTCACAAAAAAAGAATAAAAGAAACACCAACAATAAAACAGCAATTACATTAACTTGTTAAAATGCTGTGACAGTCATCGTCTGGACCGTGAGATCCGCTTTTAGCATCTGAGTCCGTGTCTGGTGTATCATTCACCACAGCCGCACCCGCGCCCACCTTAGAAGCAGTAATGTCCGTGATGACACTGCTAGCAAACGCCTGAGTAATGTTACCCGTGCTCGCTCTCGCAGCTCCTTCCCGCTGATTTGGAAGAAATATGGATGAAATTTTCGGTAGTTTTGCATTGAATTGCTCTTTTCGGTGTTGGTTAGTCCGTTTTTGAGCTCCGCTGACATATTTTCTTTTACTCAATTTGCGCTCATAAGCTTCACTCTCTAAACAGTTGCGGAAATTCTTAATCGTGATTGGATAACAAGGACAACGGATATTCATAATCGCCAAACACGGTAGGCTGCAATTACTACCAAAATAAAAGTCCTATACGTTCACGTTATAAAAACGCTTTAATTATTTATTCGAGTCAATTTTTTGGGGGGCCCCCACAACGCGGGGCCCCCCCGCAGTGCGTGCCCTGCGGGCCCGTCCGCTACGCCACTGGACACAAGCAAAAATGTATTCATTAAATCTAACTGAAGTACAAAAAATCTGCATTATATCTCTTCTCTCCTCATTTCTGCTTAACTTCCAAGTTAGCGCCAGTGGTCAACCAATCAGCAAGCTATCTGTAAGTGGCTCCCCTGTAATTCATTTTCAAACGGAAAGTACAGAGTCTGGAGTAAGGACTAAATAAGGGTCCCAAACTGCGTCCGAGGACCTACAATCAGGCTGAGGTCCTGTGGTGTGACAAAAGTTCTTGGTTCTGAAAAAAAATTCTTGTGGTGTGAAAGCACCACAACTTGACATTTGCAGTTTTGGTTATTTGCAAGTTGGCCATAAACAAGTAAACAGGAGTATTTTTGGAGCTTGCTGAAAGATCGCAGAAACTTGCAGACAACGCATAAGTCAAAACCAATACTGGAAATGATTTGGATCACATAAAAATATATAATATAAATATTAGTATTAGACATAATATGTGTTAGTGTAAATGCATACTATATATTTAACATTAAAACTCTTGGTTTGGCTACACTGCTCATCCTTGTCTCAGCAATCAGCTTCACACACATGTTCACTGTCTCTGTGACCACTGAATGTTCCATTTCTCACGGAAAATCTTAAATTTTTAATAATGTGTCCAAACACAGTGCTCCCAGTATGTACAGTAGTAACTTTTTAGATACAGGGAGAATATTTAGATTTTGTATTTTATATAAAAGGTCTACATTAGAAATGACTAAGTAATAATAATACCAATAATAATAATAATAATAATAACAATAATAATGACACTTATTGATTCTCTTTCCACCTTTCCATCTTGCTCTCCATGACACACACACACACATATATAACCAGGTTCAACCTTCCTATTACAGTTACAGATGCTTGGCTTGCTGAGCCACACACTGCCCCTGAAGAAATATGACATGCAAAGTGTTCATTACCGATTGTTTAGAAATTGGCATAGTTCATTGTTATCGTTCAGTATTATTCACAAATTTTCACATTTGTGGGGATCGTCTGCACATAATCCTCGCAAATGTGAAGCGGTTACTGTATTAGATTTATTATTATTGTTATTATTATTATTACAATTAATAGTAGTAGTAGTATTAATACCACCACTACTACTACTACTACTACTACTACTAATAATAATAATGATTATTATTATTATTATTAATATGCTGGGTTCACCATGCATGCAGAAATTTTGAAATTCACTGTTGCCAGCACAAAAGTACTGAGACACAATGGCAGGAACTTGGGTCAGTTGACCAGCATCCACAGGAAAATGCTAATAAACCAGTCGCATGTCGGATGATCTGGTGTCTCCTGCAGTCCCCAGCAGTCGCCTCCATGCCCCGGAAAAAGAAACAGACGCCCCTGGCATCCAAAGATGCTGGCAGCAAGACACAGGGGGGTTAAAGTGCACGGCTGGGTGAACAAGACACTGGAGTGAGCAACCAGCATAAGGCACTCTGGGCACGTCAGGAAAGCAGCCAGAGCTGAGGTCAACCGGCCCACAAGGAACAGCAGACGCGCTTATTCTAATTTGCGGGTATGAAAATGATAGAAAATGATAATGATAGGAAAATGATAAACGGAAGCTAGCACTACTCAAAGAAAAACACAGAAATAAACATGTCTGGAAAAAGTATTAACAAAAGATAGAGAGAAGGGCGGGACTGCGCGCGGTGAACAGACCACATCGAGACTAACGGCAAAAAGACCACACGCTGCTTTTTTACTGCAAGTGTGGCCATAAATAGAACAGGCCCACATGACCAAAACCCATGCTGCCCCCAGTGTACTCTCGAGCTGCCCCCAGTGTACTCTCGAGCTGCCCCCAGTGTACTCTCGCATTTATTCCTCCATGTCCTTGCTATCGTCGATTTCAGTTCACAACTCCAAACCCCAAGGCCTTCTCAGGCGGCCGTGTGATCGATCTCCACTCAGTCACACCCTCCGCCACCGGCACATGTCCTGCTGCCGGAAAGAAACATGCGTACGAAGTGTACAGTAACAAGTCAACCTGGGCTCACACACACCTCCACTCTCTCTCTCTCTCACACACACACACACACACACACACACACACACGTGCATACCCACACACACACAAACAGACATGCACACATGCCCTCACACACACCTCCTCTAACACGTGCATGCACACACTCATACAGGCAGGTGCATAGTCGCACTGACATATGTACCTGCATTCTTCCATGCGCTTGCACTCACACTTGCACACACACACACACACACACACACACACCCCTCCACATGGTTCTGGTTGTATTCCACCTCCACTGCAGCATCACCCCCCATCCAGCATCACTCTCACTCTCACAGAACCTCCTCAAAGGCTGGATCCCTGCTGCAATAAAGCCAGGGAATCGCCACTGGGGGGTGCCAGCTGAGGGGAAACCGACATTAGGTACAACAAAAACATCCTTTCACCAGCTGCCACACAACACCTCGTCGCTAAAGGATCTACCCCCCCGACAGAGTGTAATATACAGCAGATTACTGACAATGCAGCAGTAGCTCAGTGTGTTGGGCTGCTGTGTCAGTGATCGGAAGGCTGCGGGTTCAAATCCCATGGTCGGTAAAGTGATTTCACTATTCTGACCTTGATCAAAGGTCACTTTGGATAAAAGTATTTGCCAGATATAACCCAATAAAATACACCCATGCCTCTCTTGTACAGTATGTCATCCATTTCCTGCTTCAAATATTGCTCAGCAGCTGTCACTAACCCCCTAACCTCTCTCGGTTTAAAATCCACAACGCTAGCTCCCTGCAGATCTGCCCTTCTTCAGGACAGCCATGTCCACCATGGGAGTACAGCTTTCTCTCCATGTTCTGCTCTTTCTCAGTAGGCCTTATTAAACTTCTACATCCAGGACTGACTCAATACAGCACTCATAATGCTCACAGCAGCCTAGACCTTATGGTTCCCTCACAAATCTCCCACTTCCCTCTCCTACCATGCCTCCTTTCCACTTTCCATAAAATCTTCCACAGTCTTCTTTTTTAGCCCACACACACAAAGACCCCGCTACCTCATCCACACAGCAGCTCACAGCATCTCCTTTGCAATCTCCTCCCAGCCGCTGGCTTTTCAGGCTCTGCTGACATAACCAGGCTAAAC